GAGGAGGGAATGGGAAATCCCAGAGCCTGTGGAACTGTATCATAAAATTAATTAATTAAAAAATATGGGCCACTATATAGCCTCTCTTGCCTAAAATGGTCCTTCATTCTTTTTCGGAATTCAAAGGAAACTAGAAGTCACCACTTGGCCTTTAAGATATTTTGGGGGTTGGTCTATTTCTAGCTCAGTCCCCATGCTCACCCTTTGCCATCTTATCTACAAATAGGTCTTCAGAATGCTTCCCTTTTGTACCCAACACAACCTTCGAATGGCAGCTTCTCCTCTGGGAGGCCTTAACTGACCTCCCTGCAGGACCTCTTGCCCCCTGGAGTAGATCTCTGAGTATCATGCCACCATCTCCCAGTGCTTGCCACCTGTGATGACTGGATGGTGATTGGCGTCCCCTGCTACATGACAGGATAGAGGATGGAGATTGCGTGAATGCTGTGCAATCTGGCCCACCCCCTGTTCCCACCCCAGTGCTCATGGTGGTCGTGAGCCAGCTTTGCCAATTCTCCAACAGTTCTCCCTCCAAGTTCATTTCTGCTTAAGGAGGCTCAGCTGAAGTGCCTGGTTTGTGATAGTGTGGTGCAGTGGAAGTGATGCTGTGTGATTTCTGAGCCCAGCTCATAGCAAGAGGCATTTTCCACCTGACTCTCTCCCTTTGGATTGCTTAGTCTCACAAAAACCATCTGCTGCCTTGCAGGCACTCTCGAGCAGCACGAGGAGACCCCGAGAGGAGGAACAGAAGCCTGCCTCCCCCACTTTCCAGCCTTGAGTGAGCCCCCTGGACAGTCATGCCTCCAGATGATCTGTAGCCCACGTTGCCTGTTCATTGTAATGTCACTAGGGAACCTGAGCTAGAAGCACTCAGCTGAGTTACTCCTATATTCCTGATCCTCACAAATGGGGGAAGATATTAAAGAGTTCTTGTTCTTTAAGTTGCTAACTTTTGGGATGCTTTGTTGTATAATAGATGTGTTTGGCGCTCAACAGATATTCAGTAGTTATTTGATGTCCAGATAGAGAACATTGTGAAAAAGCCAAGCTCAAGTTGCAGCCTTACTGCTGGTCTCCTCTTGTGCTTGCCCACCTTGCCCCTGTCTCTCACCCTCTGGGGTCCTGTGTCTGTAGGAGACCTTGTCCATACCTGACCTGGAGCCCCTAGACCTCACTGGGCTCTGGAGCAACTTCCTGCCACTAAGAGTGGTTTTTCTGTGCACTTGAGAGGAGTAAATTTGCTTTATTCCCCCAAAGGATTTGAGCTTCAGTACCCGCAGGGTCAGTTCTCATCTACCACTTTCTTTGTGTGTTCCAATGTTCCAAGCATGCTCTACATTAGCATCCCGAGGGTCTAGTTTTGGGGAGGCCCCACAAATACAATGTAGTTTCCCTAAAGACGTGCTTGGGTGAGTTTCTCAATTCTAGAACCATTCCAGGTTCCCTGAACCCTGGAGGAAATGTCCCAAGGCCAAGTTAGCCTGTGGCTCCAATGGCAGGGACTAAGAAGTGGGCTCCAACCACACTTCCCTAGGGGAGGTACAAACACTGTGTGTGCCCTTCTGTCCTGTGTTTGTCTTCTCTGATGAAGTCCACTGGTCTACCTGGCTGAGAGTCACAGCTGTTAATCACAAGGTGATAAGAGACACCATGGACATGGCCTTGGCTACAGCCCCCAGCCAGGGCTGCGCCTGTCCCTGCACCCCCAGGCTCCCTTGGTGTCCAGAGCAGAGAAGAACAGTTGCCTTTGATCTTGGCAGAGCACGGAAACAGGAGGAGGAGAGCAGAGGGAAGAGGAAGAAGAAATTAAAGGGGGGAGGGGATGAAGAAGTAAGGAAGTTAGGGTGGATGAAATGGTGTCCCCCCCAAAAGACTTGCTCGAGTCCTGACTCCTGGTAGCTACAAAGGGGACTCTTATTGAAAGTGGAGTCTTCAGAGATAGATCCAAGTTACAGACGAGATTGTCTGGATTATGGTGAGTCCCCAATCCAGTCACTGGTATTTTTATAAGAGGAAGTGAATGTCTGTGTTTTAGCCCACACAATTCATTCAGAATCACCGGAATATAAAATCAAGGAGGGGCAGGGGGTGAAGAGGAAGAGGAAGGGTAGTGGGAGCTGTATTTCTAAAGGGCAGGAGGGTGGCTCCAGCGGGGGGGGGGAGACAGAGGCCGGGGTGGGGGCTGGCCTGGCTGCTTTGTGAGGGCTTCCACCATCACACTGACAAGATTGGGGTTGATGCTGTTAAGTTTACAGGGGCAAATCCAGCTGGCTACCTGGTTTTTGAAACAAAATTTTGGTTTGGCTGACTGTTTCTTTGCCTGTGGGGTGTGTGTGTGTGTGTGTGTGTGTGTGTGTGTGGTTCTCAGCTGGGCTGGCAGGTGGTGGTGAGGAGTATGTGGTTGACCCTGCTCTTGGATGTTCTTCCATTGGCCCTGCCAACTCATGTAGACAAGGAGATGTCACCAGGATTCCCAAGTCCTGCCAGTTAGTCCCTAGCCTGGTCCCAAGGAAGCACTCAGCAGTTAGTTCCTGAATCAGTGAATGAATGAATGGCTCCTGAGCAGGGGAAGCCCATCCTGGTTTGTCCCTGGGTGTCCTCTTGTCCTCTCTGCAGAGGGTGTCAAGGGAGAAGAGAGGGGGTCTCTCTCTCTCTGCTCAGGGTCTGAGCCTCAGCACTTCCCTCTGTCAGTGTCCACCTTCGACTTTGGAGGCATCTGGCTGTCTTTCAGATGGGGAAGGAACACCTTTGGGGTTTCTCCCACTAACTTGAGACCTGGGAGGGCACAGCAGGGGGCAATGCCCAGGAACCCTTTAGGAAGTGAGTGGAGACTGAAAGGCATTTATTCCTCCATGATGAGCACCAGGGCAGAGGAGGGCGCTGCTGAGCTGGTGCTGTTGCCCTCCTTGCAGTGGGTGGCTCTGGGCTGGGCTCTGGGTTGGGTGAAGGCACTCCCATGAGGCTGGTGAAAGGTCAGTCTCCCAGCCACGCTGTTCCTGGCCAGCACCTGGTCTATGGCAGGGCTGGACACTGCCCCTAAAAGGGACCCTGAGGGAATCCTCCAAAGTTTTCCAACCAATGGTGTGTTGTTGAATCAGTCACAGCTACTAGAAATTTTTCTGAATGGTTTAGCTCGGCTCTTTCCTGTGACATGTGGGAAAACTGAGGGAGGGAGGGAGAGAGAGAGAGAGAGAGAGAGAGAGAGAGAAGGTGCTTTTCTGAGGTCCTTTGTGCGTGGTGTCAGACTTCTGCTTGGAGGACAGGTGTCCTGACCCAGCCCCCTGTCCCAGTGCCAGCTTGTTCGCAGCTCCTTGACTCCCTTTGTGCTTTCTGCCAGGCTGGTGTCTGTCTGTGTTACTATTTATTTATTTATTTTACTCACAGACACACATTTATTTTAAATGGAAACCTGACATCAAGACCATAAATGGCTAACCAGGACCTGTCTTTGTAGCCAGAAGGCTGGCGGAGAAGCCCTTTCAGACCACCGAAGTCAATAGTCCTTTCCTGAGTACCTCGAAATGGCCTTGAAGACCTCAGCAAGGCTTTGGGAATGCCAGATGCCAGCAGAATGGGAGTTGCTTGGATTTCAGCTGTGTTTGGGGCTCATGGAGCCTGGGTAGTCCCAGGTCCGATTCCAGGGCTCACATGTATATAATGAGTCATTCACCCCACCCTGTCCTCCACTTTCTGGTTTTCTTGGATATAAATTGAGGTTGCAAGCATGACTGTGAGATGGGGAATGGCTGTGGAAGTGCTATGATAATCACGGGGCATCCTCCAATGCTATAGCTGCTATCTGGGCTGCTGTTTCCTCTCTGCTGCCCTGGGTCCTGTGACATGGAATATACTAGAATGTACCAGAAGCCTCCTCTGTGCCATTAGCCACGGTTGGGCTAGGGGAAAGCTGCTTGGGTAGGAGCTGGCAGACTGCTGTCTTTCTCTCTGTCCTATTTTAGTCATGGACTTGAAAAGACTACACAGGACAGACTTGAGGCAGAATGCCCGTGGGGTTGCACCTGTAAAGATGCAATTGAATGAAAGATGTGAATGAACTTTCACAAATGCAGTCAAGGCTTCTTATCTGTGAATAGGCTCAGGTGCAGGGAGCTGCTGGGGACACAGGGCCCTCCTGGGTCTTCTCTTTGCCTGCCTCTGGGCATGACCTCCATTAGCCACCTCTGCAAGAAGCTCAGTGTTGGGGAGAGGGCCCTGATGATGCTGAGAGCTCCTCTGGGCATGTGTATTCTGGGATTACAAAGGTGAGAAGAGGAGAGCAGTAGGAATTATGTGCAAGGGACTCCTGGGTGGCTGGATTCAGTCGGCTGCCCATGAGATGTCATAGGCTCCAGTATTTCCTCCCAAACCACAGCCATTTCCCCCAAGATGAAGCTGAGACCAGACTGGACAGGACAGGCCCCTCCCAAGGCCACACAAAAGGTCACAGCTGGGGTTCCTGACTCTTGAGGACCCCAAATGCTATCTCCCCTCCCTTCTCCAAGCCTACGCTCAAGGACAGCTAGCTGTCCCAGAATCTTCATGCTCACTGCTCTGTCAGGGAATGTCCTGCATAGCCTCTGGCTTAGAGAGGGGGCTGAGGGGGTGGGCAGACCCTGGGCAAAGCTCTGCTATGAGTAACAGCAGCCTGAGCAGAGAGTGCCAGGCTAAACAGGAGCTCAGGGGCAGCAGGAGCCAGGTTCTGCTCTCAATGGAATGGCACTGGCCGTCTCTGTCCTTCTGCCGAGGACATGTCCATCTGCTCGATCACTGTGTTGTTTTACAGAAATGAGAGCATGGGGCCTCCTACATGGTCAGTGCCAAGTTCGCGGTAACAGGGTTCCTAGCTGAGCTCTGGTTATGGGCACAAACTCCAGGGCTCTGAATGCTGTGAGTAACCTAGAAGATCATTGTGAACAGACTGGCTGATGTGTAAGGCCAGGGCCCAGCACCTACCAACCCTCTGAGTCCCCTATGGAAGGAAATGATCAGAAGTCACTTACCCTGTGGCTGCTTCTCCAGCTTGGAGCCTGCGGCTGCTGCCTGCCCGGGGCTCTCTCCACCTGCCCCTTCCAGCATGGCCACATCCTTCTCCACTGGCCGCTTTAGGATGGCCTCGATGGAGAAGGATAAGCCCAGCTTCTTCGGCGCCTCACTGCACTCAGAGCTCTTGTTCTCCATCCCCCTGTGGAGTGCAGGGTGGCCTGGAATTTCTGTTGCCTTATCCAAACACGAGTCCCTCTCCTCCATAGGCACTTCCACCGGCTACTTCCCAACAGCCCTGGGGCCCGTGGAGGCAGACACGACAGGAGTACTGGGAGGGCCTGCATCCTGTGACCCTGCTGTCAGCGGTCCCCAGCTTGGCATGCACACGTCATCTTTGCTATGCTGGGGCTTCCACAGAAGGCTCTTCTCAGAGACAGGTGCTTTCACAGTGACCAGCTTAGTCCGGGGTTCTTAAGGCCACTATCCAGGAGGACATAGAGAAGGAAAGTCAGAAGAGGGACGAGCTGGAGGCAGACCTCTCTCTGGATGGTGGCCCCTTCCTGTTGGCTCTGAGAGGCTGTGGGGTCTCCCTGGGACCCCAGGTCACCAGTTCAGTCCTGGGCCCTGCTGCAGCTCGTGGGGACTTCCCAGGAGCCCCCACTGGACTTCATCAAATACTGTTGCTTCCAGATTCTAGAATGTACCTTCCGAGGTCCGCATTCCTGTCCTGCAGGTGGAGGCCGAGCAAAGCGGAGTGTGAGTCTGCCTCCCAGCCTGGGTCCTCCCAGGGCTGGGGCTGTGGATCTGAGCCCTGGCGGCTTGGGGGGTTGTCTCAGGGCTGGCCTCAGCTTTCTTCTGTTTGTGCCTCACCTCGGCCTGACCTCACTGCAGGTTTGAAGCCCTGGCTCCATGCATGCTTGGTCTGACCGTGGTGCCTCTGCCTGGCTTTGGAGTCCTTTCTGCTTCGTTTCCTTTGTGCACACCTCTTGCCTGACCCCGAGACAGTGCAGAAGGAACCCTTTTGGTCTAGCACACTATCGGCTGGGAGTGACAGTCACGGCTGTGACCTTGCCAGGAATTCTGTCCCAGATGACTGTGTAACCAAGGAGGAGGGGCTATAAAAATGGACTGATAAGGCAGAGCCTCCCACTGCCCTGAAGGCTGGGGTACAGTGTGAGGGAGGCTGGGAGAACTGCAGAATGGAGAAGGGAGGTCCCCAACTCCTTGCTGGGCGGGGCACCTGCAGGAGAACTAACAGCAGAGGGGAAGTTGGAGTGAGCTGGCCAGGAAGTACACCCAGGCTCACCCCAAAGCGCTTGCACAGCGAGGAGGCTGATGGGTAACATCCAGGCTCATGGCTGGGCTGGGTGAGGGCTGCCGGTGCCAGCTTGCAAATCCCAGCACAGGGAAGACCTTCTCAGTCCATAGTGTCTGTGGGGCAACTGAGGCCCCAGGTCATGGTAGGGTCTTATCTAAGAAGGGGACGTCTGGCTATACTGGACACAAGGAGCCAGACCGAGCGCTCCGGGCTCACCTGGGAGAGGTTGTGGATGTGCGTTTGGGCATTAGACTCCAGACTTTGTCATAACAGGTGGATGTCCTGCTCCATCCCCAAGAGGTCCTGTGATGGGGTTAACACCTCCCTGTGACTCATCAGCCTCTCTCACTGGTTAGTGGAGCCCACAGCTCAGCTGCAGGGACAAGTGAGACCCCAAACCTCGAGTACTTCATTACTCACCTGTGTCACAGCACATGGTGACCCAGCTTTTGTTCAGCGACCCAGGTCTTCGGACAGGGATCCCAAGGAGAAGGGCAAGAGTAAAGGAGTTGGACTTGAGTAGGTCAGAAGCAGAGGTGGCTACAGAACTCTGATGGGCCCAGGAGATCCTGGGTAGAGGCCAGTGGAGTGGAGAGAATGGAGGAAAAATGAGTGTATTTGGGACCAGGCACTGTCAGGAGGCACAACCCTCCTTATGATGGGGGAGGCAGTGGCCGATGGCACAGACATGCTGGGCCACCAGGTGGGGAAAGGCCAGTGGTCAGGGCTGTGCCTTGTGAGGGTTGAGAGGGTGGTGCTGCTGGGAGCCATGGGGGCTTTCAGGAGGCAGAGGCAGGACATGAGGAGGCAGGCGCATCACTCCCCAGCTCCCCACTTTCTGGTGCCCACCAGGGTTGGACAACAAGTTTCCCACCTATGCTGGGTGGTCCAACACGGGGACAGGGACTTCCGGGGTGGTTGTAGAGACAGAGGAGAAAGGAGTGGAGCTGCTTCCATGTGCCAGGTCCCATGCTAGGGGCTGTATTGCTGTGGATCCTGTGGAATTCACTCCACGACCCTATCAAGGAAGCATTATTAATGCCATCTCACCACTGAGGGCACATGCCCAGGGCAGTGGAGTGATGGCATGAGGTTACACGGCTGACCAGTAGAAGCTGGATTCCTACCAGTAGAAAAAAACCCGGTAACTCTGGTGCTAAGATCACCTCCCCCGCCGCCCAGCCTTCACAGTCGTCCCCAGAGAAGGTTGAGTTTAATGCTCTTCCTCCTCCTCCTCCTCTTCCTCTTCTTCATTTTCTTTTTTTATGACTTATTTATTTTGCTGGAGAATCAGAATTACTGAGGGAGAAAGGGGGAAGGAGGGAGGGAGCAAAAGAGAGAGAGAGAGAGAGAGAGAGAGAAAAGAGAAAGATCGTCCATTAGCTGGTTCACTCTTCAAATGGCTACAGTAGACATAGCTGAGCTAATCTGAAGCTGGGAGCCAGGAGTTTCTTTTGGGACTTCAGAAGGACTTGGGCCATCTGTCACTGCTTTCCCAGGTCGTGGGCAGGGTGTTAGATCAGAAGTGGAGCTGCCAGGGCTAGAATTTGTACCCATATGGGATGCCAGCATGACTGGCAGAGGATTAGTGTGCAGTGCCATCATGCCAGCCCCTAATGCTCTTACTCTTCAGAGGAACAGCTAAGGGGCATTGCCAGTCCTGCCTGTGGCTTTCAGCCCCTCCTCTGAGCTCCTGTTACTTTACTTTTTTGGGGGAGTGAAGTGTGAAGAAAACACCTGTCAGTGGTTTGGGGGTGAACTCTCATCTTGGCTCTTCTTCTGAGTGGCTTTCCTGGGACCAGCTGCACCCTCGCTTCTCTGATGGCAGCTCCTGTACGTGCGGAGTGTGCCTCTGGAGCCTCTACTCTGTGCCACGCTGGAGGAGATGAGGATGACACGGACGCGGGCCTGCTCTGGGGCACGAGGAAGGGAGCAGGTGGTGCAGGTGCACCAAGGACAGGTCAGTGAGAGGCCAACGGGAAGCCGTGTGAGGGCGGTAGGACAGTGTGTTCATTTGGAAACCTTGAGCCAGGCATGGAATAGAAGGTACACGTGTCATGAGCCAGGGTCCCCTAAGAAGTTCATGGAAAATGTCTAGTAGGAGACATGGATTTCATTTTTTTTTTTTGTTCCATAAAATCCATGTTCATTCCAGGGGCATGTCAGGGCAGGCATGGTTTTGCCAGTGGGACACACATTCAGAAGGGCATTTAGGAAGAACACATGGAAAATGTAACATCTGTGGTAATGTGCTGGAGAGTGATCTTGGTGCTGGGGTGAGGGTTGTGATTTAGGTATACCAGATGCCTACCTTGGACCATGGCCCTTGCAAGGGACTATAGACACAGGACTTTCTGAGTGAAGGGGTGGTCCACGTGGTTTCATCCAAGATGCTGCAGGGCACAGTGAGATTTTGGGGGAGTTTCTCTGAGATTTTGGGGGAGTTTAGAAGAGCAAGGAACAGGTTGCATATGGAAGTCACAAAGAAAATAGCCATTTCTGAGTTATCTCTGCAGGTATCTGCTATAGGAAAAGTAGCAACACAAAGTGAATGACAACATTGAAGGACATACTCAATTCACTGGGAATATCTAAATATTAAGTTTCAACATGGATTCACAATCAATTGACAAATGAGTTACCTTGTATTCCATTCTCAATCTGCTATATATTTCATTGTATTTAAAAGTTTTATGTATTTATTTGAATAGGAGAGACAGAACATTCACCTGCTGGTTCATTCTGCAACCTTCTGCCATAGTTAGCACTCCAGGCTGGATCAGGCCAAGCCACCAACACGGAGTCCAATCTGGGTTTTCTTTGTGAGTGACAGAGATGCAAGGACTGCCTCCTTGGGAAGTTGTAGCTGGGAGTGGAGTCAGGACTTGAACTTAAGTCCTCTGCAATGGAACGCACACATCTCCAGGGGAGACTAGCTAGGGTGCTAAGCATCCATCCCTGGTGCGTATGTTGCACACACACACACACACACACGTCCCAGTTTGGACTCCCACATTGAACGTGGGAGAGCCCAGGTCTTACAACTCTGCAGGTGTGACGTGGTTGGGATGAATCCAAAAGGTAGATTCTCCCACTGTGTCAAGGGCTTGTCCCCTGCTTCTCCCTAAATGATGGACCCATGGGATTACTTGATAGCTCCAACCAAACCACCTGCCAATGTTCCTCTCTTATAAATTGTGAACTCTGAGTTTCTCAGGCTGATATTCTGTAGAAGGAGCTGCTGGGTTTTCTGGCACATTTATTCAGACAATTGACCTTTTTCTACATACCACTTGTGCAAAAATTTGTCAGAAACTGTATAAGAATTACAGCAGCAAGGCCCAAGTTTTGGCCTTTGACTCAGCAGAGAGAAACTAATTATGTGGCAAGAAACCAATTACAGGCTAAGCTATGGGAGCTTGGGGTTAATCCCCGCCCTACCACAGGTACTTGTGTGGAGCGTGTTTCTCAGCCCAGTGTGAAGGCCAGGCTCGGGGGGGATGGAGAGTCCGGGAGGGCAGGCAACCATTGCCAGCACAGCACAGCTGCAGTATGCTTGGTCTCTCTTCCTTTCTGCTGATACTTTACAATTCCAATGGGTTTTGAATGGGTGGAATGCATTACCCTTTGCTAGGTGGAACAGGAGTTGGAAGTCTTTTCTATGCAGGAGGACATGATTTTATTGTCATGAACAAGCAATGGCCTCTTTCTCCTGGTGAACTTCTTCAGTCCCAGGGCGGGGGTGGGGGTGGGGTGAGGGGGCTGACCATCGGCAAATGGCATCAACCCAGAGTTGGCTTGTTTTCAACAGCCTGTGGCGTGTCGTCACTCCCTTAGGCACTCAGAGAGCTACACTTTCCCACTAAGTCATTCAGGG